AATATTAATAATAATAATAATAATATGAGAAAAATACTAATAAAACGCCAATAACTTTTTAAATTACTATTATTAAAATTATAATACTAAGACTAATAAATAATAATAATAATATGAATAATAATAATAATAAATCGAAAATTATTTATTATTTATATGGTACTGTAATAATAATAATATCAGCAAAAATTTGAACAATATATAATGTTAATGCTAATAAGACTAATAATTAATATTAAAACTAACGGTAATAAAAACAACAATAATAATAACAACAATGACAACAATAATAACAGCAATAATAATAATTAGTACTATAGCCAAGCTTTTTGTGGCTGAGTGGACTTGTGGCCGAGTTAACTTGTTACAGAGTTGACTTGTGGCCGAGTTAACTTGTGGCCGAGTTGACTTGTGGCCGAGTTGTATCGAATTCCTACAGACAGGCCTAGCCTACTTTCAATCTTAGACTACGTAATAAGCAAAAATATTAAATAATTTGTCTATATATTAATAATTCACTGTTTCTAGGAATGATATAGGCCTAGTGCATTGTTAGACTTCTAAGACTAGGCTAGTATTTCCATACCTAAATCACCATAATCTTCAGCAACATCACTTCGTTCACGTCTCTCTTCTGTTGTGGTTTTTGTATGTATATGGAACGCCAGAGAATTATGTTGAACGATCGGTATTAATTATTATTACACATGATTATTTTATAGCTGTATGTGGGATGAGGAAATATAATATCTATAACATATTAATTTTTATTAAAATATAGAATTAGGATTCTTTCAGAAATACAATTTCATGTTGAGTAATTATTTACTGACATTAATTTATATAGGCTGTCCATACTGTAACACTGCCACCAAAAGAAAAACAGAAAGAATGGAAGACGATGCTCCAGTTATTTATGGCCTGGAATTTCAGGTTCTTCTTCTTTTCTATTTATTCTAAGTCACGCGTAGTCACGATGAAATTCTTATTTAAATAAGTTAACCATAGACTAGGTATACGTTTACTCCAATAGGCCTAAACTGGCTTGTTCAACCTCTCCTAGCTTGGCGTAGGCCCTAGGCCTGGGCTAGGCCTAGTCGGACTCACTGTGTAGGGTCGTTTCGGCCCGCGTCAAGGCCACTGTAGGCGTGAGCTGACAGTGGACACCCCGCTAAGCAGTAGTTAATGCCAGGGCCCGGTCGAGCTTTTGTCGGCATTCCTAGATATGCATAGGCTTCCAACGTGCTAGTATTATAAGATTAAGAACTGTCGAAGCCTAGCTTAGTTTTATATTTTCCTTCTATTTTTTGTAAATTTATGATTTTGATTTGTTTTTGTAAATTTTTTTGCTGTTTTTTATAGGCCCCTATGGCTGTGTGGCAATGCTTACACCGAAATGATCACAACCCCAATGTGCTGATTGGTCCTTAACCTTAAAAATAACTTTCCATATCTTAATGGATTATTACATCTCGGCGTAAGCATGGCCACTTTGTTTTTATATATTATTACTTTTGTACATCATATGCAATTCAGCCTTGTTGCTGCTATATATGCTTTTTAAGAATATTGAAGTTTGAATGTATATATATCAAATAGTATAGGCACCCCAGACTGTATAGTAAGGCCTGCGCTGAGAATATATCCACAGCGCAAAAATTTGGCCTAGAAGTCCGTACTCACCAATTCTGCCTATGCCTAAATACATTTAAACAAGTAATTACAGAGTGTTAGCATACAGTATTCCTCATCTTCAAAACCTCATACCTTGATAAACAATATCCATGGGTTATTTGTGATATCTAATTGGTATGTACCAAATTCAATTCAAGCATAACAAGAAGTCCAAGAGACACGACTTAAAGTCAAATTGTACACATGGCTGGCATTCCATATTTGTCAGTGCCTGGAAAGAAATTGAAAAGACTCGGGCACCACATTTACCTGAAGAAATGTAGTTGCATCAAAATCAGTGGAACATCCAAAAGCAAACATGTGTTTTGTCTGAAAATGTGAGTCAGCTACAGTACATCCAAATTTATTTTGCACACAAACTCCTGCAGGACAAGGCCTGCCACAGCACTGCAAGAGTAAATCATAAAGCATTAAAGAGCTGGGGTAACATTTCTCATTTCGTATCTTTCATTTGAACATTTGGGAATTGAAATGTCTTCTAAGGATACTGTAAAATCCTCGAATTGAAGTCCCTGGGCTTCTTTTCGAGGCTACTTTTGTAAAGTAAAGAGCGTGGCTTCTGAATGAATGCTGTACATTTTGTGAATTTCTACAATAAGCAATAAATAAGGTCACTGTAACAACAATCTGTATCATCATGGAGTGTATTTAACTGGTAATAAATCAACTAAACTACTGTATAAACCAAGATTGTTTTTCTACAGTAATTTATTTTGTTTTTTGAAATTCATGTACAGTGTCTGTACTGTACTATCTCGAAAGATGCCTATGCTATCTTTCAAGGCTATTTTGCATTCTAAAGAGGGGCTTCAATTTAAGACCTGCTTCATAAAGTCCACTGGGCTTCAGTTTGAGGTTTTACGGTAGGTTAGGACAGACTAGGCCCTCTTGGTTCTTTTAAACTTGAATTTAGAAAAAAGAAAAACAGCATTTTGGTGATGATTATTACTGAGGGCACACTCCAATTCTAAACTTACCAGCCATAAGCTGGTAAAAAATACACTTTTTGTGTTCCTGATAATTTATGATTTAGTACTTAGTATGTACAGCTGTATGCAGGTTTATTTTATATATTTCATAATACTGTATATGATGATTGATAGGTTAACAAGGTGCTACCTGTTTTATTTGTTTTGAAATATTACGGCATGATTTATGTTTGACATTGGATGCCTTTTCATCAGTTCCATTATTTATACTTTATTATAGGCGAGGGCACTAACTGCTCAAGTTGCAGAGTCTGATGCAATTAGATTCTTAGTTGGAACTCAATCTTTGAAATTTGATAACCAGGTAAGAAAACAAGTCAAAACACAATTCATTAAAAATAGTGAAATGGTTTAATGATCAATGATAGTTAGTTGCTGATCATATTTGATGTATTGTACTTAAATTTTGTATAAATAAGGTAATGCCAAAAAAAAAATAGTTTGTTTGCCCTTCTCCACCTGCCCCTGACTCACTGAAAAAAATAGGAGTGGAAAAACAAAAAAACTTAAAAAATATTCTTTTTTTAGCTTTTTTCTTTACAAATAAAAAAAAATGTGAGTGAATTTATCTTTATTTTTTGCCAGATGCAAACAATTCTAAAGTTATTGTCTGATGTAATTTACAAACTGGCTCTCCATAAGATGCTCCAACTCAAATTAGTTTTGTTTGCCCAAATTTGTTATCTATGTTTGTTGAGTTTTATTTTGCTTGTCACCCATACTGTTTCACACGATCAGCAGTGGCATATCGAGGAGTAATGATATAGTGTACCACAGTCGTGTCGTCACAACACCAGGTGGCGCTCTCTGTTGTCAACGGACGTTGGTTTCCCAATTATTACGCCTGAATGACTTCATAGGCTTTCTGGAATAGGCATTTTAAAATCTAATATTTTATCATCAAAATGTACTAAAAACACAAAAGCTTGCATTATATTAGTTATCGAACACACAATTAATCATCAATTAAAATTTACAAAGAAAAAGTAAGATACAACATCTTAATAATTACGTTGAGATCAATGGTTTGTCAGTGGAGAAAATGGCATCCGGTTGAACGAATTTTGCAACAATAGCAACATAATAGTATCACGTGGTATCATGACGTAACACTGTAGTACTCTATTAGGGAGCTGATTTGGGCGCATGGTATTACGTTCAGAGTGGGGAGGACTAGACCAAGTGTTAATTGAAGGGTAGTTAGCTGTGGAAATAAAGTGATATGTGATTTTTTTAGCTACTTAAAGTACTTTTTTTTCTCAGCAAATTTTTCCTGGGCCATTAATGCTGCAAATATTTTTCAGGGGAAGGGGGCCACACCTCCAGCAACTCTTGGGTATTGTATGACTGTAGGATGCCTGAATGAATACTTAGTTATTGTTTTCTTATATTATACTAAAAAAAATAATTATAAACAATTAAATTATTTCTATAATAAATATTCTAAAATTTGTGATTTAGGTACATCTTCTAGATTTTGATGAAGAGAATAACCAGCTTAACAAAACAGTATACTTACACAAAGATGGTGAGATCTGGCACATAACATCAAGCCCAGCAGACAAGAATATTCTTGCAACATGTTACAATAAAAGTAGGTTTCTTTGTTCAGCTTTTTAATTGCTTTTTATAAAGAAGATATCATCTTTGTATTAGTGTTTCTCAATACCGAAGTCACTATCATGTGATTAATTATATTAAAAGAAGAAAAATAAATTTCTTGCCAATTACAGACAAAATTGAGTTTTTGTTATTTTTTTTCTAGATTTTGCATGAATTCCTCTTTAAAACAGTGTTTATTTGAGGGAAATTGGTTGATTAAGCAAAGTATCTTCAATACTGTATATCTTCTTTTATAAAATAACCCAAAAAAATGGTTAAAATTATGATTCTTGGACGTTTTGGGTGCTTATACGAAATAAGAAATTGTGAAAATGGCGTTTTTTGCCAGAGGCAGTCACATATTTTTGCACAAATGGTCCTACATTTGTTACTATAAACTACTGGGAGACAAATATAAGGATTTTCATATTAAAAGGTATGTAAGTCGGCAAAACTATTTTATCCATCTCATTGAAAGTTGATGACTTAATATAATATATCTGTTAATGATTAGCTTGGAAGGTTGTAGAATAATAAATGATTTTTTTTTTCTGTTCAGCTATAGATAACAAAACAGAGAGGTTGACATCATTATGGCGGATACCCACAGAATCAGACTTGTCTGAGCATGGGGTTGAAGGTCACGATGACACAACCTCTAGTGCGCCCTCATTAGAGTTGCTTTGTAACTTGGAAAGTGCAAATTTTGGTAACATTGTCTGGTAAGTTGACTAGATAATAATAATAATAATAATAATAATAATAATACATGAACTTGTACCACGCCTTTTGCAGAGGGATACAAGGCGTAATAAAAATAAATAAAAAAGATAACCAATTGGTGATCAGCAAAGACACCAAAAATGACAAAAACAGAAAATTTGGACAGTTAAGTGAGATTTACTGATGGAACAAATGTTTCTTGAGAAGCCGAGAAAAACCAAGATAACAAGAAGCATGCTGTAACTTGAAAGATTAATCACAAGTAAACATTATATGTACAGTTGTACCTGTATACAGGTAATAAGCCTGAAAATGGTATTTCAATGCTTTATTATGGATTTAGTACTGTAAAGCATAAAATATTTCATTTTTCAGTTTTAATTGTTAACACCCAGGAAGCAATTAGAATTTGCATTGTAAGTCTGTATGTCATTCAAAGTTAACTGATTGCTTGATCAAAAATAGTATCTAAAAATATGAAACATTATCATAAAGAAACATATATACTAGACATACTTTGCTGTTTTTGTTTCTGTATTGATGTTATAATGAATATACCATTTTAAAAACATTATTATTTGTTGTTATATTGAATTTGTAATTTTGCAGCACAATGTGGGAGCCTCAAGAAGATGGGTCTAAGATGTTAACATTATCAGAAAACAACATTCTACAATGGGATTTCCAGGCCAGCTCATCCCAAGCTAGGGTGTGTTATCTGCTAATTTACTATAGTAAATAGTCACTCTGGCTTGATTGATCGATAGCATGACACGCACAAAACAAACATGTGGTGTGTCAGGTACATCAAAAAGTAAAAAAACAAACTTGGCAATACATAAAACTATATTAAAGGTACATTGAAAAACTATATTAAGACCTTAATTCCATAAACAGTTGCACAAAGCTAAGTAATAATATGGCGAGCTGTACAAGTCTATTATAGTAATACTGTACAAAGCAGTACTTTACCAAAACAGCTGAAGCATCAACTAAAACCAACAAACAACAAATTTATGAACAAATTCAATTGTGACCACAATTTAAGCATCCAAATTTATATTTTAATTCTAGATAAGTAACTCGGCAACATTAGAAGTGAAAGGCCATCCAAAGTTTACAAGTGGCAGTTGGAATCCTCACCATAACAACATTCAAATAGCTACAGCCAATGACACTACAATCAGAGGCTGGGATCTGAGGACTATGCAGTAAGTACAATTTCTGTTGTAATTTGTTTAATGGGAAATGACACTACCATCAGGTTATTGTCCTTTTTCAAAATTGAGAGGAAATGTTTTCTTCTTTGGGAACAGTTAGAAAACATTAAGATAAATGGAGATTACATTAAACAAACAACTGACAAGTCTGTTGTTGGTAAAAATATTTTGTTATTGTTTACAATAGAGTTTTTTTACATTGTCAAAGAACAGAAGTAATTTTTTTTATTTAATAAACAAATGGCAATAATTTTGGCATGTCAATATATTTATTTTACAGAGAAGTGTACACAATAGAAAATGCACACAGTCAGCTTGTCCGCGACGTAGACTTTAACCCAAACAAACAGTACTACCTAGCGAGCTGCGGCGATGACTGTAAAGTTCAGTTCTGGGACACAAGAAACACATCTGCATCAGTGAAGACACTCAAAGACCATTCTCATTGGTTAGTGACTATTCAAATATTAAATATGTATAGCATTTCCCTACCTTACTGGGAGTAAGCTAGGGTATCTTTCCACATCTCGTTCCCACCCCCTCCCCCACCTGCAAGCTTGATCCGTCACTATAGCACTTACTTATCTAATGAAGAATGTCATAAAACAATAAAATCTGTGTTTTTAAAATAGTCAAACTGCACCACATCAAACTAAGCCTAGGCCTAGTAGGCCTATTCTTTCAGTGTGTCTACTGTAGGCTAGCTGCTCCTGGGCCTAAATTGTCAGAATGACAATACGATGTTTGTTTGAATTATACAAGTGGCCTAAGACTAGATCATCATTGCCATAAAATCATCGATACAATAGCAAGTGTTGACATACCTTATAGCTGGCTGGCTTATGGCCTAGCTAGCTAGCAAAAATCAACTGAAGGTCCTATCTTATTTTTACGGTACAAATACTATTACATTACGTATTTTGACATCATCGATGTCACATAGCTCTGTACTAACTCTTACCTCATTCTGTAAAGAGATGAACTGTGAGGGTCGTGTATCAGAGACAAACTGTTCAACATTGCGAAGATAGGCTTTAAGGTATTAGGTATTAGGAATGACATTCTTAATACCTTTTCTATGCCAACTAGGTTACTTAATGTAAAATCTGCGTAATGGTACTAAATGTCGCAGTTTTCATTATTCTGTTAGAAACAGGGAGAGCATAACATATTTTTTTGAGGGTATTAGACTAATACCTTCCCACTCTGCTACGCCACTGATATATAGTATATATCCAAAAATGGAAACTTTTTTTTTACTCTTCAAGTATTGAAGTAATTTTTTTATAACATGTTATTTTTAAAGACAAACATTTGTTTTCCAATCAAAACACGATAGGATTTTTAAAACATTTTACAATTCATACAAACAACAAATCAAATTCCAATCTATCAAGTCCTACACTGTTGCTTCTTTGTATTTTATTGCTCGATAGAGAAATATTCAATTTTGATTTGCTGCAGTCATTGCTTATGAGTCTTTGAACAAAGAGGTTTACCTTTACAAATTTTTTTTTTTTTTTATGAATAATCAATTTGGATTGTGTTCCAGTTTACCGACCAATTCCCTGTATGAGTAATGTCAGTTTTTCATTGTGTTAGTTAAAGAAATTGCTGTCTATAAATACAGTGATGATACAGATACAAATTTCTTTATTGTCCAGAAAAACTGGAAATTACAATGCTCATGACTGCTGGCTTAGTTAATTTAAAAGTTAAATTATGTCAATATCTTAAATATTAAATATCTTAAATATTATTGTTTGTTATTTTCAATTCTTGCTTTATGTGTAAATTTACAATAAATATAAATCAAGTGAATATTGGTTGTTTCTCTGTGACTTTAGTATTAATATTAACATATTTATTCCATGTATTTTATTTGTAGGGTGTGGAGTGTACGGTACAACCATTTCCACGATCAGTTAGTGTTGACATCCAGTAGTGATAGCAGGGTAATACTCAATAACGTCTCGTCTATTTCATCGGAACCATATGGCCATCGTGAGGAAGATGATGATGATAGCGATATTGAGGACAGTGACAGGTATGTTCAATTTCATCAAATTTTATAATTTATTTTAAACCATCAAACACAAATATGTTAGGTAAGACTTTTTTATACCTTGTTTAGCAAACCAGCAAAATGATGATTTCGAATAGAATATAAAATTATATTTTTGGCCAATTAGTGCACCCGGCACCACGATAAAATGGGAATTTCAGAAAAAAAATTAAAGTTTTTCTAATGTTTGTTACGCACACCGATGCCTTGAAATCACCAAGAATAAGATATGTATATTTCTTCCTAATTATTAACCATCCCATTACTACATTGTTTACATTCTGGAAAATACAAGGGACTGTGAAAGCAAAATTATTAATTTAATATATTTATTAAGTTAATATAACATAGTGTGGTTATTTTTCTGTGACCGGAATCGTAGTCGCTAATAGAGCCCTGACCTACTGTCAGTGTACACAGCCAATAAACTGTTTTATAGGCCAATGCACATAGCACCTTACAAAGCACTATACAATCTTCAGCATTACATGTTTATAGTATATATAAAATTAAATTAAGATAACAAAATTTTATTTTAATTTTTTTTTTCTGCCCTCCTTTGACGATCTTTAAAAAAATAAGTTCTTGAAACAAGGTATAAAAAGGTCTGTCTTACCTTAATTGGAGTACTCATTTGTTGTGATATATACCCTGTTACAACCTGTTGAGTGCATCAAAGCATTCCTATTGCTTGTTTCTTTTATTAAAGTTACTACATTCAATCACAACGAAATTGTAGTCTGAAAAGGGTATTAGTGGTTTACGCTTGCCTTTCAATATCAGGGTCATGGGGTCAAATCCTGAAAACACCAAGCTTCTTTTTTCTACTCTTGAAACCCAATTTTGAGATGTATTTTAATTGCATCAGAAGTTTATTCCATTCTGTAGTTGACAGTTTTCTTAAAGTAGAACTAAAAGGCAGTCATGATAATTCATAATTAAATTTTACTCAAAGGAAGACTGGTAAGCAAGAAAGGGAAAAATATGCCTACCAGAATAACATAATACAATAATAAAATATTAAAGAACACAGTTCACAATACTCTATTTTTATTTCTATGTTAAGGAAACCATTAGAGCCAGTTCAGGATGAAATGATTACAACCTATGAAGAGCATGAAGACAGCGTGTATGCTGCTGAGTGGTCCACCGCAGACCCATGGTTGTTTGCCTCCCTCAGCTTTGACGGACGCCTTGTTATCAACCGGGTACCAAGAGCAGAGAAATATAAGATTTTACTATGAAGATCTCACATTCGATATTAGACAACATATTTTTAAAATGGTGTTTAAATTTTATATTGGCTCACATATTAAAGGTCTACTGTTTGTCTTGTCATGGAAGAAGAAACCTTAACAATTCTATTAAAACATGGAAGAGCTCATTTAATGGTGTTTAATATACTCTATTTATTTGAATAGACACTCCCCGTTGAATAAACTCCCCCTCCCTAGAAATTCATTTGAAATTAATTTCTCCCTCAAATAAACGCCCAGAGGCCCAAGTAACTAAACAAATTTAATGGAAGCAACATCATTCACATCGTAAATAGCATAGAACTAATGTTTTATTGTGGTCTGTAGTAATTGCTTGCCTTTTTATGGGATGTTTTTTATCGGAAAATTGTTAAGTTAAGAATACACAGTCTTCTTAATAAAGCATGCATAGTGATGAAATCTGTTATATTTTACAAAATATACTATATTGCCCGAATGATAAAGATCTGTAATAATGAACTGATGAAAAAATATTATGTACTTCTCATTGTTATAATTAATGAAGTTACACCATCATTATTATTTTATTCATAAGTGATGTCAAGTTTGATACACTAATGTTTGTGTATGACAGTATGATGTTAAACCAGGGGTTAAACTGAGAAAGAAAATATGCCACACATATTAAAGCTATGTTCATAATAATTGGATTATCAATTTTTTTGCTGAACAAATTGAAACTAGTTACTCCTACTTCTAAAATCAGTGCAATATAGGTGACAGAATGTCTGGCTATTCCAATAAAAGTTTATTTAAAGGTAGTTAAATTGCAATTGTGTCTTTGTCATTCTGAAAGTCATGTATCTGCACATAGCTAAATTTTATACAGTCCACTCTTCCTGTACCGGGTTGAAGAACTTTTATTCTGTTTAAACCCTGCCCGACCAAGTCTTGTTGTTGGCCTAGTGCCTATCTGTTGAAATAGTCTAAGAGCCTTGAGGGTATGTTATGGAAAAATGTTCTATCCTATGCAAAGTTAAAAACATACAGTATTTACCATTTGTCATTCTTTAACTGCTTATTAACGCTTTATTTAAATTCTTTGTTGACTTTATCAATCATCCTTTTAGTCAATTATTTACATTTTAAGCCATAAATTGGAATTAGTCATACTAGAAGTATGTAAGGTTATAATAGTTGATACTAACATACCTAAACATTCAATAGTTTAAATATACTGGTCAAAACGAAATTAACTTTGATACATTCTTGATAATTTAATTTTTTTGTGTTACATCATATCAAATATTTTAGCAGCTTTTGCTAACAATTCTATCATTTGGATTATTTCACAATTTTAACTCAAAAAAGACGATGAGAACTCTTGGCGAATTCTCCGTCTCAGAAATAGAACCTATAGTAAAATTGAGTTCTGTAGACAATAATTATGAGCAACCTTCGAAGTCTTCAAAAAATATTACATAGAAGTATATATTTTGATTAATTTGGTCAGAAATATACCTAAATATAATTCTGTATCACGTTTCCGGCACGAACTTTGTCCATCCCCTCGTATGTCAAGATTCTTCGGTGTCGTTGACATTCCTATTCCTGTTACATTGTCTCGCATTGCGTCATTAATAACCCCGATTTTTTTTTTCAAACTATGACCAAAAATCTATTTCTTTTTTTATTACTTGATCATCGTATCCGGATTTTCCGTACCCGATTTAGTAGTCGTACTTCATCATGTGGTAATCTTATTGGTCCTCTTACAATTGAATCCTGCTGTCGATGCAAAAAAAACATTATATGTCCTGTTTTGGTTTTTATAATTGCCTCATGTGAGGTAGAATAATGATTTGATTGATATGACAATTTAGTGGGTTTCAAAGGCTTATTTGGTCGATTTTGGAGTCCAACACTAATATGTAGAAAATATACATTTTTGGTTTTCTCCCCGACGGGAGGTTGAGGAGTGGGGAGGAGTTGGGGAAGGTACTACCCTGCTCCTCGTATGTCAAGTTGGTTCTTCAGTTTCTTTGACATTCCTGCATTGTCTCGCATGACGTCATTTAATAAACCCCGATTTTATTCTCAGTCTATAACAAAAATCTATTTTTTCTTTCCTTCGATTTTCTATTTTCAATCACATACACATAACAATAACAACTGCATTAATAAAACATACTAAAATATTATTAATAATAAAAAGATAGGCCTAAAAATGGCATATATATAACTAATGATAATAACGATATGATATCAATAATAATGACACTGACTTCTTGGGGCCCTGCCCCCGAGTTGACATGGGGCAGAGTTAATTTAGGCCGAGCAGTCTTGGGTCTGAGTTGAACTTGGGCTGAGTTGAGTTGGAGCCGAGTTGACTGGGGCCGAGTTGACCTGCTTCCGCTCTATCGTACTTTTCAAAAGCTTGTTCATCGCCTACAGTGAATCAAAAATTAACAATGTTGTCCTAGAAAGTTTTCTTAATGTTTTCCTTTTATCAATTACTGTAATGTGTTTTATATGTTTATTGAATGATTTATAATAATATAGATTTTGCAATAAATGTATTCAATACAACTAATTGTTGTTCAGTTAACTTTTTATGTACCTTTATTTTTTGAAAAATAGTGTTCAATAAAATTGTGATACATTTCAACCTCCAATTAAACCCCCCACCCACCCAATTAACTGCTTTTCTGTGGTACTGTACCAAATGATTAGAGATCAAAGCTGCTAAAGACCATGGAAACTCTGGTCCCAGAACTGGTCTTTAATTGGAGGGAGACTTTTACGTTTGTCATTCTTAATCATAACCAGGATTTAGAGAGAGAGAGAGAGAGAGTTTGCAACCCGGACTGTAATTTTATAACAGGACCTAGTATCAATTGTCTGCATCACAACCCGGAAACTTGAGTTTTCGAGACCGGACTTTAGTGACACATTGCGAACTTGTTATACCCTGGGGTTTCTGGTTATTTCCCCCATTTTTTTTATAACGAAATCAAATCACATGCAGGGCGGATTTAAGGGGGAGGGGCCGCGCCGGTCCCGGTCCCCCTTTTGCAAAGTCCAAAATAAAAGGGGAAAGAGAGAAAGAAAGAAAGAAAAAGAAATAATTGATCGCCCAAAACGCCTAAGAGGTATTTTCGGGTGTCAAAAAACAAAAATGTTTAGGCTTTTTAGACCTTTTTAGGCTAGTGTTATTTCAATCTCAAACCCACTTTCGGCCCCCATTTTGGACATCTTTCAATCCGCCCCTGACACATGAATTGTTTCATAAATCTTTATGTTTGCTAATTTAGCTTCTATGTATATTTCTACAGATTCAGCTTTGACGTTTGGAAGATCCCCCTCTCTATCAAATCCTGGACAGCGCCAGTGCTACGCCTCTGATTACTCAACCTAACTAAGAAGTCGGTATCCGTGTATACTAGACAGTCTTTGTAATGATGGATTATGTGAATAAGACGTGTTACCAATGAGTATTGCCGATACGAACTATTGAACTGCCAGAATTTCCAACGTCTGGGCCTATTAGTAGTTTATTTAAGTTTTCACTACTTCCGTCCCATCTTAAATCTTACTCATATTTTGGAGATAAACTATAGAATTCTATTTTGTGGATTTTGTGGAGAAGAAAAAAACTCTTGTTTTAAATGGCTTCTTTTAAGACCTCGCTATTAACAGGATATAGAAGGCACAATTAGGGGACAATCTCCGGGCATATTTTATATTTTCTGATAGGGCTTATTATTGCTAACGTAGGCCTAACCCCATAACGCTTCTGGTTTATCCTAGTTACAATTATTCATTGAGTGTACAACCTGTACTCATTGGGATGCTACAATAAGTCCAACACCGGCGCTGTGCTTCGGCAAAGAAAACAAAATGAAAAAAAAAACCCAGTATATGCACCAATTAGTGGGATCATAAACTGTTTAGCAACATGGAATGTAGTTTATTCGTGTTTGGATACACTTCAGTCATGACGACTACTTTATTGTGGCCACACAAAAGCAAATAGGCCTACTTGTATAGTTACTTAGACTCAATCAGGTGCTTGTTTAGGGTTTATTTTGGCCTTAAGATTTTGTTTGTGATCGAATTCTTTCAAGGTACCGCTTTTCTAATCAATGTAAAGTATACTTTGCTGCAGGCTGAGATTGCTTCACAAAAGAGGCAGACGAGAAAAATACCAAGTCGATGATCTTCCACAGAAATACTTTTGTTTCTTAACATCCTGTTAAAATATTTATTTAACAATGTTCTTCTCTTCGAGTTCAGAATGAATCAGTATCAAGAATAGAATAAAAAAAAATAGGCTTAATAGAATTTAAAAAAAAAAAAAGCTTACATCTTTGGCCCTTTTATTGTATTTCTACGTCCACGAATCACATTAGTGAGCTTTCGCATCAACGACGGACGGGCTCATCAACTAAACGCGTTTCTTGTTCTATACAAAACTATAACCTGAACTTGCAAACAATTTGAGGGAAAATACAAGGGTAAAATCCAGTGTCATAAAAATGTACGGTACATATAATGAGAGGTTCTTAATAATATATATTTTGTATTATTAATAGTCATTAATATCAACTGTTTATTTCAAAGGTCAGCAACCGGTACAGCACTTTCTTGAAAAAACCCGAAGCTAATAGACCGAAGCCTTCAATTATGAAGTTGGCCCATAAGAAGAGGAAAAAGAAGATTAATTTGTTTTTAATTAAATAATCACCTCTAGATTAGGTTTATGGTCTGTGAATTTAAATTCGTCTACCTTTAAGCCCTATTGAATTTTTGTTTTCAGATTTTCCACAAACAGCTGTAGAATTGTTAACGTAGATTAAATAGCTTTGGACAGAGTCCTATTCTATGTTGATTTGTTTTAAGTTTTGTTAGTGTATTGCGAGGTCAACCGTTATATAAATTGAACTACTGTATATTACATTATATCTACACTTTCGCTCTTTAAACTACCGGTAAAGTACCTACATCTACATAAATACTGCAAAAATGGGGGGGGGGGAAACAGTTACAGGCCTAACTACATTTAATCAGGAAGTGCTATTATAGCGCCTCTCTGATAGGTTTAATTTTCGCCCCCAAAACACACATAAATTCCAAGTGCATTTGTTACACATTCAGTAATGTATTGATTACATATATTTGTACAACTTGCCATGAAACATACTGCGCTACATACATTCTTCAACCTGAATTCTTATCAAAACAAATGTCAATTTGTTCAAATATGCTTCAAAATACAGTACTGTTACAATGGACTCGTAGTAAATTTCCTAACAATATCTACATTTACATAGTAAAAACTTTACATTGAAAACATCAACTTACTTAATGCTTTTAAGACTATGAACTCATTTTTAAAGAAAACCATAGTATTTTTTTTTTGGTAGGTTTAATACGCTTGCTGCAAACTGTTCTATGAAGTTGCTCAAGTGCGTTTACCTGTGTCTCTAGGCTTACTCCACTAAGGAAGTTCATGTTAATCTCTTGGGATAATGTCTTGGCAACACTAATCAATTTTAACATTAGCCGAGACCCGCATTTTGCTATTTTTCGCAAATTCATGGAGCTGTGTGTTGTTTTCAGTGCAGAGTGTTTTGCAGACCATCACACGTGATTATAGCTATGCAGTTTTATTTTTATCCCGACTACACCCCCTACAGACATCAATCCCGTCGGTATATTTCGTTCAGACGTCGTTTATGTAAAAATAGGGCAAATTTCTGACGACAAACTGTTCACATAAAAGTTTCGTTTTGAGAATGTGTGCGTCAATCGTTAAGTATTTTTGTATCATATGTATCCTTGAATTTACCTTATTATCGTATTAGAAAGTACAATATCAAAATTCAATAAATAAATTAATAGCAAAATTATGTTTAAATAATTAAATCATTATTGAATCCAAATCCTTAAAATATCGCCCTACTCTAATGCACTTTATTATGTCCAAAATGTGACGAATTATTAATAAATTTGTACATGTGGACTTTAGACAACACACGCCATTAATTTGGAATTATGCATGGTTGATAAGCATAAATTAACATAATTTAACAATTAGTATACAGAGAAGTGTAATACTAGTACTCAAAATAGGTGTACATCTATACCATATTGTTACTGTTTCAGTTTCTCCTATTTAAAATATCTATAATTTAGTTAAACATTACACTATGATTTTCAGCTAGTTTGTTAGACCTAATGTGGAGATGTATGGTAAACTATTTAAACGAAATCATATAGACACATTCGATAAAATATTCGACACCCCATGATTTTGCCCAAGGGTTCATGGCATCTCGTGTTTTTAGGTCTTCTACATTGCATCTTTCCGCTGTAAAAAACACAAATAAAAAATATTAGTTATAATGATAATGATACATTATATAAAAATATATAAAATAATATAAAATAACATAGTGCAGTATTAGCTAATGAAATATTATTGATGATATTAATGATTAATAATACTATACAATGTGAAAGATATAGGCCTAAATAATAAATATTCATTGTATTAGCTATAAGGTAAGGATTCCTACCGAATAAATTATGAAGATCTTCTTTGACGAAACTGTTTGGAGGTCCCGCAAAATTCGTATGGTCGACTTCAAATACATCCAATAGATAGCGACCGTTCTCATCTAATAAATCCAATATGACGTCATGATACCTGAAATAATACGTTATTTTAAAAATAATAGCAATAAATATATAATAATAATAACTACAAAATCTTCATCAGCATTCTTATAATCATTAACATGCTGTATTATATGTATGTTTAAATCAAATCTCGAATTCAAACTATTACTACTATCATCATCATTATTATATTTATCATTATTATCATTATAATTTTATTATCAATTTAGGAAACTTGTTACGTACCGACTGCGATCGGACGGATTAATGGCAGCTAATGATCCACGGTCCCAAACGCAGTCAAATTTACCTTCAGTCGTAGTTGAATTCAGTTCAAAGAAATCACAGGTATAAATGCGTATGTCGTGTTTTACACCCTGAAATAAAAAGAATGGAATTAGACTCTTATTACATAGGTTATGTTGCATATTTAAATGGGCAATTTTTATTTAGACAAATGTAGATATGTTGTATAAATGAACAGGGGGCGGGGGTGGGGGCGGGGCGTGTGGATAAAAATCCATGTATTTATTAGTCGGTGATTACATTGACTATGTTGCATAGACTATAAGATATTTTTGTAAATTATTTTTGTTATTGAGTCCGACAAATAATAGTGGTTTGTGGGGTACTATGTTGCGAAACATACATTATTTGAAAACAATATGGCTGTATTTAATAAAATATTGCCGATAGATAGGATAGAGATGATTTATGAATAAATTAGGAAGCATTGTAACTTGATCATGTCCTACAGCATTGTAGTAGTATCTCTGTAATCTATGGCCTACTCGCTAAGTCTATATTGTGTCATCAAAATTTTAATAAATAGATAATGGCGAAAACATCTGTTGTGCTTATTGTGTATCTATAAATTCTCGAAAACGTGATGGTTATTCTGAGAAATTTTAGGTGAAGGAAGTGATGGGAAAGCCAGGGATTAGCGTATATTGGATGGGAGTCAAGACTGGTCCGCTTTTGCTAGAATGGTCACTAATAGGAGGTTTCATACAGATATATTTTCCACGAGCTTACGATGATCATAATATGATGCTGTCGTAAAATATTCTCTTGTCATTAATATAAAAAGGGAAATTAAGGTGAACAATTCTATCAAGATGACCTTAGAACAAGCGTTTGCCCAATCAAGAGCTAGGCTCGTGTCTGACCAGATGGAGATCGTAATTAACAAATTGCGCGATATTGTACCTTATAAAGTTTGCCATTTGTAAGACTTGGAATTGTTTCAACTATATATTCTATATCTTGTTCCCTGAAGAATTGCTGGACCCCCAGCTCCACTAGTTCACACCCGACGACAGAATGACCCTTATCTAGTAACCTGGAAAAAAAAAAACATTACATTTATTTCATCAGTGGAATGACGGTTACTTGAATGAAATATTATAAACACACTATGAAGTTTAATGATCTATTTTATTGACAGTGAAATGTCAGTGGCAGGATTTGGCACCAGGACAGAGAGATTGGAATACCGTCTTATTAACAGGCGAAACTACGTTTTTACTGTGTGCAATGCATAAAGAACCTTCATTGTATTAATTCAAAAGAAAAATGGTAAAAGTTTGTACATTACATTCTGTTTCCAAAATTTGTATGTTTCTTTAAACATTACGGCAAATGTATGTGCATATGTTTTATTATTGACAATACGGTTATTCTTTGAAAATACAGGGGGCTGAGAAGGTTTTTATTCCGAGAACATTGGAGGGATTTAACAATAAACCGGATTAGAGAAATAGATAATGAATACAATTGTTTGTTTTGATAACAATTTCTGATACAGTCTTAAAATTGTATTTTAAGACTCACGAATGGGACTGCACTAAACACTTCTTTCTAAAGTATAACTATGTTAATTTCACTAAAGAGAACAATTGAAGACACTACTTAGTAAGTAGTCCTACAAGTACCAGATGTACAACTTACCATTTCATGTCCACAGATTTTCCACAAAGAGGAACAAAAACTCTGCATTTTGTTTTGCCATTGACCATTGCATCATAGTAACTCAAAAGAATGCTGTACAAAAATGAAAGTGATATACATTTAGTTTTACGATTAGTAAGTATTATAACGAAGATAGTAATGCCTAAGTTACTTAAAAATGTTTAAGACCTATTCCCAGTAAAATAAATATACACTCACAATAAGAAAGTTCTGAAGACAGGATATTCGTGTTGTATACATTTATATTTGTGATACGTCAACCATAATCTGATTTTATTTTATAATATTCGTCTTGAACCTATGTTCCACCCACTTAAAAATAAGTATTGACTTTGAGATAACCGATAACAATTCTGAACAAAAGACAAAATATTCGTGTGATAATGCATTTATATTTCTGATACGTCAACCATGATCTGAATGTATTTTATAATATATCTTGAACCTATGTTCCACCCACTTATAATATATTTGATTTACTTTGAGATAACCATCAAATAGTTTTTTTTTAAACAAATAGTTTATATTTTTGTTATAACTATTTATTTATATCATAAGATTTACGAGGCCATAGTGGTTCAGAGTATTTTCAAACAGGCTGAACAAAAATATATCAACAAATGTCTGTCATATAATCGATTAGTTATAGACATACATTCAATATTGTCAATTCTCTGGGAATGACGCAGCACAACGCAGTGCAAGCTTCAAGTTCGAAGCACTATAACGAAGTTAGCTTTAAATGACAGGTGGAGGTATCAAGCAAAAGTTGATCGTGAAAAGAACGATTCTTAACTATTACTTTTTCTATGTATAATGCGAGACATCACCACACACAGAACAGTTTGCAGCGGAAAAAAAAACAACTTTTGTCATGACTATTAGATAACATTGTCAAATTGTAGTGCTAATGTTTTCAAAATAGATATGCTAAAACTCATGACAAAGTGAAATCACGGAAATTCATAGACAAAAAATACAGACCTACAGTCATATTACATTAACACGACCAGTGAAGGATGAATACACTTATATCAGTAACAATATCGCGATCATAGGCGTAGACAGTATTTATTCTGCTCTTTTATACATGTAGGTCTTATAACAAAACTATGACATTTAATTTATATATTGGATTTAAGACCAAGATTATTTAATAGTCAAAATAAAGACTTACTCGTTATATGTTGGCTTATGGAATTTTGTCTGTCCTTTGTCCCATCGTTTTCTCCAGTCCCCATTGCTCATAAAGCCGTTTGACAGATCTCCAAATTGGTTTTTCTTGAGACCGCACTTGTCTTTGATTGAGTCCCTCTCACCGTTTGCTTTGTGACCTTTTTCCACTGGTTTCTTACTTTTGTTTGAGAATGTGTCCTCGAGTTTCCTTCGCTTCGCCATAGCATTATTAGTTTCTACTCCATTCCTTAACGTAACTGCAGTACTCATCGTGAAGGTTGTAGAGGGTAATATTCTCAATTGTAGACAATATCAGCAGTATTTCCTCTGACGCCTAAAAACAGTAATACGTGTCAGTGCTTCAGGATAACATAATACAGAGAACCAAATTTAACTATCTTTTATACAGACAAATCAGACAATTGCACCGTGACGATTGGGCTGTTTTAATTTAGATCGATTGTTACGAAATAGCTTCAGCGAATTTTGTTTGGCGATCTTCTGAATGAGATCGAGTACTTGTAATTGTTCCCGGTTTGAATCAAGTGAATGGAACGTAGATGAAGCTTATCCCACTAAAGCCACATGACTTTGACATATATTGTCCTCCGACGTGAAATGCGTGTGAAAAGCAACGACAGTTTATGGCAATGATCACATGACACTTGCGGATGTGCACACGCAATTTTTTTTCCTATTTATTTATATTTTTTTTTATAGTAATCATTTCAACTTTGGCACACTAAGCTGAACCTTTTCGACGTGATCTTAAACAGGAGTTTTTACGAAACATCCACAGTTGCTACAAAGCTTGGTAATGGATAATTATTATTTTAAGATCCGGCTTGGTCTTTTTTATATATTAATATCATCTTTACAAATTTAAAATCATTAAATAATTAAACCATCAATTAAACCTAATTAAAACTTGAATTGTGTCGTTGTATTTGAAATTTAAATTATATATCATGAACACAATCAATATGATTGTATAATACAGAACTATGGTTTATAATGAGCTGTTGACTTAGGCCTATATCCTGTCCTCAAATATGTTGAATATTATATTATAATGATTAGGGTGACAATGACGATAATGATGATTAATAGTAGATCTGTAAACAAAACAAACAAAATTAGTCAATTCAAAAAATGGGAAAATTCATCACGGTGTACAAGGATTTTTCGAGGCTATGATGGCTGTCGTGCACTACATTACACCTATAGGCCTTTCTAAACTCCTGCTACACGTAAGTATGCTTAATTTATTTTAATTCTTACAAATGTCTTGCTTAACATATGCCTATATTATTAGCCTAGTTATTGTTATCATGATACACTGCCCCCTCCGCAACCCCGAATTCTCTCTCTACTTTTTTTTATATCAGTAATGATTAGGCATTGTGCTTGTACGTATGGACCAAGAGCTGTAGCTGTTTTCTATAGCTTACAATGTTTGTCCAAAAGATCTCTATTAACTTGTCTGCAAATACACTTTACGTCACCTCTTTAATCTAATGTGTATTAACGCAGTCTTATTTATCGAGCGTATGCCTAACCAGTTATAAGTGTTAGTGAGTCAATGCACTATATGAAAGCATCCTATGGATGTTTTTTCAAAACTCACTTCCGGGCATGCGCACTTTTAATAGTGGGATATTTAAATCTGACCCCAAGTTGTAAGGAGTTATCTTTCAAAAAGCACGTAGTTCTACTTTCTTATCGACAAAACTCATTGTCACTAGGAAGGGCATAGACAGTGTTCGATACAGATAAGTTCAGAAATATTGGAAAAATATACCTGCAAATTATTCACTCATTTTGTGAAAAAGATATTTTAAAAAGTATAATTATTTATTTAAATTATTTATTATTATACTGTATTATCATAAGAATATTATTATTATTATTATTATTATTATTATTATTATTATTATTATTATTATTATTATTATTATTATTATTATTATCATCATCATCATCATCACCACCATTTGGGAATCAGATTAGGTCTAGTAAAATAAATTATTTCTGTATAAAATTATGATTATAAATATCGAGTACAATTACAATTATCATTGCCATTATCATTATTGACTGTTATCCTTATCGTTACTATTAATCTTTATTGTTATAATTATCATCACCATTATCTTTAACCATTGTGTAAGAAACTTCCAAAATTATCAACACCTCTATTCGCGAGGACACCTAAGTTAGGTAGAGCAATTCCTATCCGTGTATTTTCGACTTAAAGAATGCATTTCTTATTTAAATTCTTTGCCCAATTGTTTAAAATCGGATATCCGTTACATGTTAAACAGGTATTTCCCCTTAACAATTTAATAAGTTATGTTGGTGGTGTGATGGTGTGATACAATGATTTAGAATCACATGATAACATGGCAAACTATAAGATCTTGAGACAGTATTTTTGTAGAACAAGGTCGTTGATAGGGTAAGCTAGTATGCGAGTGTTTACATTACGACCACGTGCTGCGCACGTGCATTGCAACTTCATAGTTAGTAAGTTATACTAAAAGCTGGTACTGTCCTAAAATTAAATTGTTCGCCTAATTATACCCATTTTATGTGAACGCGACTGGCGCAATGGTAGTGGCTGGGACTCTCATCATTGTGGTTTTGGGTTCGAAACCCTCGCAGTAGGCCTACCAGTCACCGTCTTTGGGAAATACATTAATAATTATTAACACTATTCATTATTAAACAGAGCGTTGAGCCCTTCACGGCATAGCACAATCTGACTTTTTCTTTAAAAACAAAAACAAGACTATTGAGCAAGTTTTAAGTGAGCTTCATCCCAGCATACTTGACGCCTAAACACCTTTCCTGGTAATTCGCGCCAAAATCGCAAGAATTTTATTTCCTGCAGATTCTGAGGATACTTATCTCTAAATCGTCCACACTCCACTTCAGAAACCTTGGTCCGATTAAAAACCATGTCAACTATATTCTTACCTCTATTATTTTACTAAACGCAATGCCTGTGGACACCGACATAACTGGAAGATTGGAACCGAGCCACTGTGTATATAACTAGTAGAATGATGAGGTGAGAGGCAATATAGTGAATATGTTACACATTTAAGCTCATTCGATCATGGAGGTAGGCTATAAAAAAATATAATTTATGCCTCCATGATTCGATGAACAGTCCGCGTTTTTTGCTGTTATTCAGTGACGGTATTACACAATTGTGCTCAACAAAACAAAGGCGAACCTAGACTTGTTACGTCCACTGCAGTAGCAAACGGAAAGGACGAGTGGAATAACTTAGGCAGGATTAAACCACTTAGGGATACTTTGCGCAGGCATTGCGCTGAGAACAATGTATAGAGAAAGACACTTTCGAATTCTATAGGCCTACTATTGTTATTTACCATCAAGAAGCAAGACATCCATTAGGTCTACACAGTGATTGCAGCAAACTTGCTGACTAAAATTCAGAACACCATGTACGACTTAGTTAAAAACTAGGCCTATAGTGACCCATACGCTAGGACCATCCCATAATACAGTCCTATTGTTAAATAGGTGATCAGTATTCTTCTGAAAGAAAACATACCGGTAATAGGTGCCGACAGAGTAGGAAATGAAGATATTTTTCATAAAATGTAAGACCTCATAATTTAAATATAAACTATAGTCAAACTCCATTTCATGTAACGATTTTTTGGCATTTGCTTTCAATAAATTTCATCAATTGACCTATTAAAGATATTCAAACGAAATGATAGTCCATTTTAATTTTATTTTGAAGATGAGTTGGATAATTATTTACATTATTATTATTGTTGCTGTTGTAGTTGTTATTATTAGCATTTACTATTATTATCACTACATTATTTTTATTACTGTATTGTCAATATGTATGGTAGGGTCTAGCAGAAAAGTCAACGTTTACATTATTAACGTTTATTATTAGTAAACAATAATACATTATGCAACACCTCCCTACAGTTGAAATATGATCACTTAAGATGAACACAAGTAGAACTCAAGTAGAGCCTACTCTACGACAAACTTACCAAGTTATGTTGATAAACTTCCCTGACAATTTTTAAAATGCTATACAACTCAGCTTAATTCAGCAAAATGTTCATATATACTGTTCAAACGATTCTAAGAGACTGACGCTATAGAATGATGAGCGGTCTTGTTAAAGGTGATCACTTGACTACGCGTGGTGTACAGACATTAATACACTGTAGAAGGAAGCAGTGCTTCCGCAGGACCTTAAATCATGCTGAAATCGAATTCGGAAAAGTTCGGGTGAATCACTGATATTCAGAGGCATTCGAGTGGAACCTATATGTCTACAGGCCTACGGGCCTATTCTGGTTGAACAGATAATTAATATGGTATCCGGACTGTGGGGCGAAGTCTTCAATAATTAATATTTCCAGGTAGGCCAAGTATACAAGTGTATTATCATGGTTACTTTTGTCAGACGTGAAAGTAGGCCTACATAAATTATAGAAGCTCTGTTGGATGTAATATTAGATCATTTTCTCTCTCTTTTTTTATTTATTAAAGATGTACTGTCTGTCATAGAAAATAAAATATTCAATTGCATATTGGAATTGCTAATTTAGTTTACAGTATTTAGTAAATTATTAACCTACCACTAAAATTTTAAATGATAACAATTTTCCCCGTCAATAACGCTTTTGTAATTCCATGTATGTTTTTTAAAACACAGCTCCTGCAAACATATCGTTATATTTATTAGTGTTCTATTTGTTACATTGCCAATATTCACGCAAGGAAGTCAATACAGCATTTCCTTGATAACTCGCAGTATATGATTGATTTTAATAGACGTTTGACGTTCTTCCAGACAGCATAAATTAATTTGCTTAATTTATAGGTTTCTGTAAAAAGTTCACTGTCGATTTTGCCATATAAAACAGACTATTACTGGGTTTTCTAAAATCAACTGCTATCAGAAGAAAATACACATAACATTTTAATAAGACAAGTACCTTTTTTATATTTGGTTCTCAGGCTACATTTAACTCGGTCATGTTTGACCATAGGCTAATACCGTATCCCCACAAATATACTATTTTGGATTATGGCTTGGATTAGGGATAGAGCTTTGGAAAATATCATTGTCCTATGCTCAACACATAGGCCTACTAGGCCTACTCCATGATTCATAATATTTGTAATATTCAAAAAACTTTTCCGGATTTCATAACATTAATCGTTGTTTTTTAAATAGAGGTTATATATTTTAACAAACGTTAAGATGTGATTCTGTATTTGCATTGTGCCTAAATTTAAATGTTAGTTTACTTCTTTACAGTTTATGAAGTACCTAGATTTACCTTGATCGTAATGTTTAATTCTAAGAACGAACCATCGAAGTACATGTATTTCAGAATTGAATTACACGAAATGTAGGTCTGTGGTGAGAACGTATTGAAATGATTTTATCCGATAAAACGGAATAATGAAATTATCGCATTTCAAACAGACTCGCAAATTGTGATCTTTCAAAATTGAGATA